GGACTTGTGTCCATAAGATCTCAGTGCTGCATTTGATACAGTTGGTCAGAATATTTTATTACAGAGGCCTGAACATGTTTGGATTACGGGAACGACTAAAAAAGGTTTAAATTATATTTATCTGATAGACTCCAGTTTGATCATGTTAATGGATCTGCTTCAAACACGAGAGTTAGTTATGGAGTTCCTCAGGGTTCAGTGCTTGGACCTATATTCTTTACATTAGGTAAAGTTATTAGACAGAATAGGATAAATAGTCACCGTTATGCTGACAGTACTGGATTATATTTATCCAAGGAACCTCATGAATCCCATCAGTTACTTTGATTACAAGCTTGTCTTAGAGACATAAATGGCTTCATTTTCTGATTTCAAACTAAATAACAAAAATCAAGCTTGTGGTTTTTGGAGCGTCATCTGGATTAAATTAATTTGGCCTCCAGTTCTAATGTGAATAGTTATTTTTGATCACGATATGTCCATTAACCCCCATATTAAAAACTGGTCCGTGCATTTATCACATCTAAACTGGGATGTTGCACTGGTTTATCTGTCTCCAAAAACTTCTTTAAAACGTCTTCAGTTGATCCAAAATGCTGCTGCCAGAGTCTTAACTGGAGTTAGTGGGAGAGATCGTATCTCTCCAGTTTTAGCTTCTCTCCATTGGCTCCCTGTCAAATCCAGAATTGAATTCAAAATCTTACTTCTAACCTACAAAGCCCTCAACAACCTAGCTCCATCTTTTATTGAAGATTTTATTGTTCCATTTTTCCCTAACAGAGCACTTTGCTCTCAGACTGCAGGTTTACTTGTGGTTCCTAGAGTTTCCAAAAGCAGAATGGAAGGACGAGCTTTCAGGTATCAGACTCTTTTGTGGAACCAGATATGAAACATTTGTTGTGAATTGGCACTATGTAAATAAACTGAATTAAAATGAGTGCATGTCGCCCGCCTTTGTTCATGTGAAGAGAAATGACAAAGTTGTTGCTTTTTCTGGAACAACTTGAACATAACGTCATGTATGATTTCATGCTCAAAGTATGTATTGGGGATGACTCTCGGCTACTATCACACCAAATTTAACCTCAATATGTGTAAAGTTGACTGAGACGCAGCTTTTTGGGTGTTGAGGCCATTTAGCTGTGGCAGCCATCTTGAATTGGGTTGACCCGAAAGTTGATTAGTTGTTGATGTTTACAATCTATTTAAATGTTTTGTGAGATATTTTGCTAACAACAACTCCAAGTGAAAAACATTTTTACCTTCCTATTATTTCAGTGGTGATAAAT